TAAGGACACTTGTCATTGGATTTGAGGCCAACCCAATAATCCAGGATAACCTCATCTTGAAGATTCTTAACTTAATTACAACAACAAAGACCTTTTTCTCAAATCGGGTCACATTCACAGCTTCTGGGGGTTCAGACATGGACATATCTTAGGGGGAGGCACCATTCAACCCACAACGAAATGCTTAGATACAAATCAAACAACATATGTACAAAATCTGTATGCCGAACACTACAACGAGAAAAATCAAAGACCAATATCAGTGAAGAAACAGACCATGTTCATGTACTGAAGGCTCAATTGTTTTATTCTCCCCCAAATCACCTACAAGAATCACAAGCTGATTCTAAAATTTGTATGGAAAAGCAAAAGAACTAGAAAAGCCAAAAACGTTTTGGAAAAAAGAACGTTAGAGGACTCATACCACCTGACTTGAAGACTCAGCCTAAAGCTGCAGCGATCAGGACCATGCCGTGCTGGTCAAAGGACAGACACGTGGATCAACGGAACAAACGGAGTCCAGAAATAGACTCTCAGATACCCGGTCAGCTAATATTTAACGAAGGTACGCAAACAACTTAGTCCAAAGAAAGAATATTTTCCACAATCGCCGGAACGACTAGATGTCGATATGCAAAAAAATGAACTTCAGTACATATCCTGCGCCATATACAAAAAAGTAACTCGAAATGGATCACAGATCTAAAAGTAAAACCTACAACTACAATATTGGCATACATTTTTCTTCTGAAATATAAGAGAAAATCTTTGTGACCTTGGGCTAAGTAAAGATTTCTTAGCTATGACCCCCGAAGCATGGTCCATAAAAGAAAAAGTTAATAAAATGAGCTTTGTCGAAACTCAAAACATCTGCTCTTTGAAAGACACTGTTAAGAAAATGAAAACACAAACCACGCACTGGGAGAATATATTTCCAAGTGACATACCTGGTAAAGACTCGTACCCAGCACGTATGAGAACTTTCAAAACTCGATGGGAAGATGAACAATCTAACATTTAAAAATAGGCAAAAGATTTGAACCCATACTTCACCAAAGAACAAAGAAAGATGGCAGACAAATACATAAACATTTGCTCCACATCATTAGCCATTAGGAAAATGCAAGTTTTTGTACACAGTAAGCGATCATCGCATACTTTAGAACGGCGATGAGGTGGAGAAACGTGGTGTGCCGTGCCCCATTGGGGAGAACACAAGATGGTTCGACCACTTTGGGAAACAGTTCGACGATGACTCACAAGGTTAAATACGCACATACCCACGTTCAACCCCTAGGTATTTACACCCGAGAAAAATGGAAATATATATCTATGTAGAAACATATGTATATGACGGTTAATAGCAGCTCTATTTTTAATAGCCAAAACCTGAAAATAACCCAAATGTTCACCAATAGGCAGATAAACACATTGTGGTGTATCCATTTGATGGTGTACCACTCGGCAATAAAAAGCAACAAACTATTGATACGTGTAACATGGGTGAATCTCAAAATAATTTGGCTGAAAGACACCAGACCAAAAGAATATGTAACTATGATTCTATTTATATCAAATTCTGAAAAATGCAAACTAGTCCACAGTGATAGCAGATTAGCAGTGGGCTGGGGCTGGGGCTGGGGCTGGAGGGAGTGGGCTGCAGAACTATGAGCAGGCACAAGGGAACTTTTTGGGCTAATGGAGTCATTCTCTACCTTGATCACGGTGGTAATTACATGAGTATGTGTCAAAATGCAGAGAAGAGTTCACTTTTTAAAACGGTGAATGTTACTATTTATATATTAATAAGCCTGATTTCGAAAAAATGCAGTTGAAACTGAAATGCCCTTGGGAGCCCAATCTCCCATCACATGACACTGCACTTGAAACCACCCGTCACCACCACTCTGCACTCAAGGTGCAAATCACCACCTTTCCACGGGACATTACCAACGGGCAAAACGCAAGGCTGAAGACCCCGGGTCAGGCCCCGGGTCAGGCCCGAGAGGTTCGCCACTGGTCTGGGGATTAGTTTCCAAACACGAGACGGGAGTGTCACATTTCAGCGTAGTTCGTTCCCAAAGCCTCGGTCTCCCTGGTTGTCAGCAGATGTCCCCAGGCAGGTTTTCCCGAGCAGCAGCTGTCCAGTCTATGGAATGTCAGGCCTCGGCCACTTAGGGGCCCACACACAGCTTGACAGTCAAGAGCAGGCGAGGTCTGCACACACCTGGCCAGCAGCCAGGAGTGGCTAGAATTTTCCCATAGAGATATCATGATCTGACTTGCCAGAATGTGCCCCTCCAGTGGGTGGGGCGGTCAATCACTGATACCTGCTCCAGGTAGAAATTTCTCTTTTTCTTCTTATCTCTAACATTAGACCTTACTCCCAGCCCGGTCTGCTCTGGGAACTGAAACAGACAAAAACATTCAGGAGCTGGAGTCTGGGCCAGAGAGAGGACAGGGAGGTGACCCAGGCCTAAGATCTGGGCCATCTTGTGTAGACCCAGGCGGGCATCACTTCTGGCCACTGCCCACTTAAAACACCAAAGCGTGTCACTGTTTCTGAAGCAGGGCCGAGTGCAAAACTGGAAGACATGGACACACACACGCGCCACGATGAAATCTTCTCGACTGAATCGTCCAGCAAACCGTTCACTGCGTAGTCTGCCAAGTGGGTGCAGGGATTCACGGCCACAGACATTTCTGTCTGCACCTCAGGCCTCGGCTTTGGCAACTGGCCCTCGTGGGAAGTAAGCAGGCACCCCTGTCTGGCTGCCTCCCTGTTTGCTAAGCCCGGCCCTGGCGAGGAGAGCGGGGGGCCGGACAGAGCTCGTCTGGGCTCACCCGCGGCACCAGCCACTTGAGTGGAGAAAGGCACGGCTGTTTTCTCAACTCAGAGCTCAGAAGAAAACCAGTACTGTACTCCCCACACACGCTTGTGGGCTAGATATACTACAGTCTTGTCTGCCCTATAATTTAGGGTTCCGGAGTCCAACAGGAGAGGAAACTTCTTCTAAACATAGCCCTGAACCCAAGAGGAATTCTAGTTTCTTAAAAATCATCTAATTCTTCGGCGGTCTTGCCAAAGCTCTTCCAAGCCAGTCGAGTGTGAGTGTGGGGTCTGGTTACTGCTGCTGGCTTTTGCACGAACGTGTGTAAATGGGCAGGGTGCCTCTGGGAGTGACCGGGGCCTCTGTTAGAGCGTTCCCGCTGATCACCTCCTGCTTCCGGGAGGGCCGGCCTGGCTCAGTTTGGTTCCACTGACATGGCCGTGGGCCCCCACCTGGCTGGGCACTGAGCACCTCGGGTCACCTACCCCCACCTCGAGACAGAAACACCCGCCCGCCCACAGCAAACAGAACTGCGGGACTTCCTGGGAGGGAGATCGAGGCTTCTGATAAAGCCCAAGTGTTGACTGTAGATTAAAAAAAAAAAAAAAAAAAAAAAATTTAAACTGCTTTGAGCTAATTTTAGACTTAGAGAAAAGTTGCAAAAAATAGTGCAGAGAATTTCCATCCATCCCTCCCCCAGGCTCCCCAGTGTTAACATCTTACGTAACCGTCAGTACAATGATCGCCGCAGGAAGCCAGCACTGGGACCATGCCAGTGAGCAGACCCAGGACCCCACTGGACCTCCTTCCGCCAGCTTCTTACTAATGTCCTTGGATCCTGATGCCCTAAAATCCGACCCAGCAACTCACGCCTCACGTAGCCATTTCTCCTTCAGCTCCTGCACTGTGTTAGCCCGTCCGCATCCCTTGTCTTCCACGACCTTGACACTGTTGAAGAGTACTGATTAGTTATGTGGCCAAACGCCCCTCGCCTGGGTCTGTCTGACCTTTTCTCGTGACTGGAGTGAGGCCGTGCATTTCTGACAAGCGCAGCATCGAAGCCACACGTGCACGACGGCACGGGGCTTGTGCCACCAGGACTGGTTATCAGAGGCCCTGACCTTGCTCGGTGGTGATGCTGACCTCTCTGCCAGGTTTCCCCAGTGCAAAGCGACATTTCTCCCTGTGTAGTTAATCTTGGAGGACTGTGGCTTTTTAAAAGGGAGCGTGTTGTCATCACAAACTCTGTGTCGGCCCCGCTTGCTGGTGGCTGCAGCTGCCCCACAGACGAGAAGCGTCTCGTCTCTCATGAGTGGCAGAGCGACATCTCTGGAAGACGCCGAAGCTCTCCGTGACAAAGAGGAACAGTAGCAGTTTATTTATAGATCCACTTGAAGACAGCTCATTGTAACTACTGGAGTTGAGTTTTCAAAGCTCGGGAACAAAGGCTGGCAATCTTAGCTCTCCTTGCACTCGGTTCGATGGATTGCGTTCGAGGCGCAGACTGCACCCGGGCATCGCTCCCAAGACCGGCAATTCATACTTAGTGCCGCATCTCAGGACACGAGCAAAGCCTGCCAGGGCAGATAACTGCTGGCTCTGCCTACCCTGCAGAGGCGGCGGGCCTCAGATGGGCCAAACCCTCACCCTGTGGCTGCCCAGGGGGCGGGGGGCGGGGGGCAGTGCGGAGCGGATGGAGACCACATTCCAGGGGGTCTCGCCGCCTCCCTGCTCTGTAAAATGAAGTTGCACCCGGCTGCTGTGACCCCAGGCTACATCTCTCTTCTTCCTTCCCCCTGCAGTCTGTGAAGGGGGACAGCGCCCCCCAGCGGATGCCTGCCCTGAGACAGCTGCCAGTCGCTGCCCCACCTGCCCTGCCTTATCTCCAGGCTGGAACGAGGGCGTCTTCAAAGTCACAACTACCCCTGAGGACAGAAGACGGTGGAGCCCCAAAGCTCCTCCTGCCCCCTGCCCAACTGTGGCTCCCCACCAAGACTGGACTCTCTCCCCAGGGAAGGGAGACAGGGGTTTTCTCGAAGCCCCTATGTCCTCATCTGAACAGAAAGCACAAAACAATATGCTTGACACATGAGGAAAACTGTGACCATGGACCAGGCACTTGATATTAAAGAACGATTAACCGTGTTGGATCAATAAGAGTGTGGCAGCTATGGAACAAAAACGTCTTTACTGAGGGTAAAATAATACACCTGGGATTAAATACAAATATTCCAACTCTCCAGAAAGGACGTGGGGGAGATGAACGAAGTGAGGCCGGCAGAAGGAGGAAGCGTGGCGAACGGCACGTTCTCTCCACTTTCTGTGCTAGCTCGAAAATTTCCAAAGCACAAGTATTTTTTGTTTTGTTTGATGATGATGATGATGATGACGATGATGATGATGATGATGATGATAGTAGCTCTTGGGTGACTAGAGTGAGCTGTGGAACCCCAGGCAAGTGGGACCCCAGGAGGAAACTGAGGCACAAGGTCGCCCCCCCCGCCCCCCGCCCCGCACTCGGCGTCCTGGCAGGAGGCAGATCTGTGTGGCTTCACGACTGCTCAGACCAGCCTTCGGCACTGCCACAGGGAAGGCCCCGAAGGCACTGAGAGCATCCCGTGAGCCTGCAGCAATGTCGGACCTTCAAAAAAGCTCATTTTAAGATAATCTCCATGGAAACCATCTATTCTGATTTTTTCCCATGGTAACCAATGAGAACATAAACACGAGCATTATCCAACACCCTTACACCGCATGGGCCATGCTGCCGTCCAATCTGGAAACTCTTAGCTGCCAAGGGCTCTTCTGCATCGACCATGAAAGCAAGCACTGAAACTCCCAGTCCAGGCGGGCAGACTCCACCACCCCACCGCCCAGTCGCCGTCCAGACCACCCCACGCCACCTGCCCTCAAACCGTCCAGACCACCCCACGCCACCTGCCCTCGAACTGACCAACCAGGCCAGAAAGTGGCTTCCTTCATTTAGCCCGGGACCATCCAAAACGCCAAAGGAAGGAGCCACAGCCTGCTTCTAGCCTCGCGCCCTCCACCCTGCTACCGGACGTGTGTCCATGGACCCCTGGTGTCCTGACCACAGTGTGTTCCAGACACAAGCAGCGCGCCACGGGAGACCAGGGCGCCAGCCCTCCAGGGAGACGAACGAGGCCTGCGAATCGCCGACTCCAGCAGAGAGCGGCTGCCCCAGCGAGCAGAGTGCTCTGGGCGGGCGGAGTGGGAAGAATTCACAACCTGCTGGCCTCCTGGGAAGGCTGCATGGAGGAGGTGCCATCTGGAGAGGATGCGTGTCGCTCTGCTGGGGAACAGAGTATGGCCCAAAGAATCACAGCCAGGCTTAAGCAACAGTGTCTGTTTCCACTTGCGGATCGTTTCTTCCATTTTCGGGTTTCCGGGTTTGAAAGAGAAGCACAGAGGAGGAAGGGTGGGAGGGAGGGAGAGAGGAAGACTCAGGTGCCAGCGGCCTCGGTTCTTGCCCACCTCTCCGCTCTGCACCACGTCCAGGGCCTCTGCTGGCTCTTCTGTGGAGAAGGGACTGTCAGCGTGGCCAGACTGGGCCATAGACGCTTGTCATCACTGTGAGCCAAATGGCAGTGTCACAGCTGTGGCCCCAGGGCTGAAACTAAAGGCACTCCTGCCCGGGCCACGGTCCCCTGTAGCGAAGTGCCAGGGTGCCAGGACCCACTGTCCTGTGATTTGGGCTCATTTCCTCACGTGCAACTGTGGACTCTCCACTGGCCTTGAACCCAACGCCTGGCTGCCAGCGGGAAAGGAAAACCAAAACAGTTCTGAGATCCTCGAAAAGACAACAGAGCTCTCGACAGTGTGTGTGGGTGCCCAGGCTCACGCACCAGGCGTGCCCCGATCCACGCAGAGCTGGACGCGAGGGCCACCAGGCTTCGTGTGGACTCCAGATCAGGTGTGTCCATCTTCATGACACTGTGACTGTCTTAATACACCCGCCCCGGATTCCTGCAACTATGCCCGCTGTTGGTTTGTCACCAAGCAGGCCCTTCCTCCCTAAGAACCAGGCCACTCTCCTCTGGACAGGGACCTCTTGCCTGTGGAATGGATGGGAACTTCCCAGTGGCAGGAAACCGTCGGCCCCTCGAAGGGGCAGCTCAGAGAAGGGAGTTCGGCTCAGTCCCACCCCACAGCACATCCTCTGCCACTGTCGCTTTCCGCAGGGCTGTGCCTGCTCTTGTGACCTGGGGCCACTTTCCGAAAGGTTCTGCAAAGAAAATCTTCACCCAGGGGTTTCAATATCGAGCCGCAAGCACCCAGACCACCTCAAGCTCAACCGTCAGAGACTCGCCTGACGGCTTCCCTACAGGCCCGGCGGGTTCTGAAGGACGGGAGCTGACCGAGGCACCCATGTCTACGGGGCAAAAGGCAGGAGCCAAGAACACTGAGGACAATGCAGGAGGCAGGTGGTCTACGAATTTAAGAACAGGTAACTGGATGGATGCAGTGGCACTAATGGATAGGACAGAAGCCAACGTGGGATGACAGGCCCAGCAGAGGATGCACTGGGTCCCGCCCTCCCGGTGACATCCCTGGCTAGAAATAAAAGCGCGCCTCTGCCCGCCCAGTTGTAAACAGAGCCCAGTGGGTGCCTTTGGGTTTAAAGAGCCCACACTTCCACGATGCCCAAGTGCCTGGGCATCCTCTGACTCATGCACTGTCAAGAGCCTCCTTGAATAGCCTTGAAAAATTTGAATCCAGAACTGAAGTCAAGAGGAGAGAAGAGAGGCTCCTCTAAGACATGTAAATCTGGGGTTCGCTCCTGCTCTAAACACCCACAAAGCCCTGTCTGCAAGGGTCCCCTCAAATCCACCCTTCTCACTATGGAAAGCAAATGCCAGCCAAAAAATTTTTGTTGTCAGTAAGAGACCCAATTCCTCCATGTTCCCAAGTGAGAAAGCAAATCTACAAGGCAAGTGGAAACAGCCCCGTCCCCCACCTTGACCCTATGACTCCTCAGGCCTGGAGACCGGGTGACAATACGGATCTTTAGCAACTGCCACCCAGGAACCCCCAGAATCTCAGCATGGGGCGAGATCCAGTGCCAAGACTCTCTGGGCCAGGAATTGGGCCCAAGAATCCCTAAGTCAAGCCTACCGCTGTGCAGCACCCCAAAACAGAAATGTGAAGTGAGGGTGCAGGGGGTGGCTGGGCCTCCTCCCTCAGAACCAGCAGAACTGGTAAGAAGAAACGGGCCATCCTCAGGGAAGGCTGAGGGCTCAGGCAGGTGTGCCTGGCTAACCAGCCCCTTCTCCAGGGGACAGTCCCAGCACTGAAGCTCTCGGGGTCCCAGGCAGCTTTCTCAGAGGAGTCGAGCGGGTGGGGGAGGAGAACAGGCCCGTTCCCACCCACCTCATGGATTTGCTTTCACGTCTGGGAGCAAGGAGGACGTGGGTCTCTCATCAGGAAGCACACTGCTGTCTGCAAGGGTCTGCAACCCCCACCGGACCCCACGAGGACAGCCTGCAAGGCAGAGGCAACATGGAAAACGGCCGCGGGGAGACCGGCCCCTCTCCTGCCCGCCGGCCCTCACCCCACAGCCTGTGGCCGCACAGCCGCCCTGACGGGGTGGGGGCCCATCTTGCTCAGTCGGACAGAGGAAGGAAAAGGAACATTTTAAAACATTTTAAAGGAACATTTTAACATTTACAAAGATGGGTGAGCGCTTGCCATGTGCCAGGCACGGTTCCAAGCGCCTTTGGGCCTGTGCCACCTCGTGAGACCCCACCGAGGCGGACCTGGCATCTCCCCATTTGAGATGAGCGGAGAAAGGCCCTTGGCCCTAGAAGTCAAGGTTACTGTCTGTACTGGAGGGCAGCCAGCCCTGAGAACTCAGGAAGTGGGTTTTTGGTTTTACTGAATTACCTAGAATTCTGCATCCCTTGCCCCACCCCCAGCGCAACCTTCCTTCCCATTGCATAATGGGCTCAGAAACCTTCAGAGGGAGGGCAAGAATGACAGTAAGTCGGAAACAGTGCATCTTGGCTATTCGAAGCGGTTTTAAAATGCTTCTGTGGTTGAGGTAGAAGTCAGTCCTACGGCAGCTGGGACCGGAGGAGCAGGTACCAAATTCAAGGTCAGCCACGACACAGTGGTCCTCGTGCTTCAGGGACAGGCCCCAAAGCACGGACAGCAGCACAGGGTGAGGCCGTGGAGGCGAGTGCAGAGTGCGAGATGACCACGGCTTCGGCAGGGAACAGAGCTAAACGCTAGACCACTGAAAACACCGGCACGAGCTCAGGGGCCCGCAAGAGTCCCTTCGGGAGACGCGCATCTGCACGGAACCTTCCAGCATTCCTCCAGCCTTGCATCTTCCGACTCACCCTCAGCCCGGTGCGGGGGTCCTTTCCCTGCAGCCCTCCAGGCAGAGAAAGCTCCCCAGCCAGAGCCCGAAAATGCCTCCTCATCACAACTCGGCCAAGAATAGACGGAAAATGGAACCCATTATTCTCATTCCGAAGGGCTGGGAAATGGCTTTGCTTTTCAACATGAAACGTGCCTAAAAATAAGCTGTGAATTTGAAGCAGAGGTTGAAACAGCTGCAAGTGACCTGATCTCTCTTCGGAGTGGGCTCAGGGAAAGCCTTCATTCCAAGAGAGCTGAATGTCACCGTCAGAGCCGTGGTCCTCGGTAGGGGTTTCCAGGGCAGAGGGGCTGTGACGGGCTCACGGGGCTGCCCCCGCCCCGGGCTGCCCCTCCGGCTTTTAACTGCCACAAGCGAACAAGCACACGCTCAGGAACCGAAGACCCAGCAGCTGGGCGACGGGCTTCCTACGATCCCCGAACATCAGGTGTGACCCGTGGGCGTTAGGGCCAAGGCCCAGCGCTTCCACGGAGCTGGGGGGCGGGACCACAGACTCGAGGGGCTGGGGCGGGGGCTCATGGGCTACTTGGGAAGCGCCAAAGCACTCGCCAGGTACTGTCCCAGCACCAGGGAAGCCCGCGGGCGGGAAAGGCATGAACGCTCCAATCGTAAGGGAAGAAAACCAAGAGGCCAAAGATCTTTTTTGATATTTACCCACCACCTCTGGAGGACTCAAAAGTCTGACAAGCCAACACTCCTGCAGAACAGGCTTGCGTTAGAAACCCAGGCTGACACCTGGACCACGGCTGCTGGGGTGGGGCTCCAGAGGGCTCACACGCCTGGGCAGCCGGAATGGCGGGTCCCCAGCGCCAACCCCATGCTCCTCCCTCCCATCCGGCAGCACCTCCATCAGTGCCACCCGCCGCTCCACCAGCCTCCTCTCCGGCTGGCTCCCCGGACTGATGTTAATGCGGTGATTCTCACCTGGGGGCGATGCTGGCAGCAATGCCTGAAGACATCTTTGGTTGTCACAATTAGGGGGTCAGGGATGCTACAGGCAGCTAGTAGGTAGAGGCCAGGGACACTCTACACCTCACATGCTCAGGACAGCCCCCCAACAAAGATTTATCCAGCGCAAAGGCTGATGGCGCCATGTCTCAGAGCCCCGAGCTACGGGGGGCGGTGTGAACAGAGCTGAGGCAGACTCATTGGATGCCCCCGCCTGGGCTCCCCAAGGAACCGACACCCTAGCCAGCAGCGGACTCAGTCACCAGGCACCATCCCAGGGCCAGGAAGCCCGGGGCAGGACGGGCCGGGCCTCGCGCATCAGCCTTCCTCCCCCGGAGACCTGACCACTGAGCGGCGCCCACCGGCGGGCCCGCCTGCATCAGGAAGAGAAGCAGGTCGGGCACGGGGTGGTGGTCGCGCAGCAACGTGGATGTACCTACTGCCATTGGACTGCACGCTGAAAAACGGGTAAAATGATAAATCCTACTTGACGTGGATAAAGCAAATAGCTCCCCCCAGGGGTCCTGCTGGCCTGGGAGCCCTGACTGCAGGAGGGTGCCGGCCACGAGGCGCACGTGTGCTGGCAAGGGGGCGCCTGGCCACCACCTCAGTCTCCAAGGGGCTTGTGACAAATCAGGAAAGGCCTTCAACAAAGGATGACTAGATTTAACAAGTCAAGTTACTCCTGGGTGGACAGATGAGGTGTATTCAGGCTCCACTGTGGAAATGGAGGCTTGGGAAGAGGGGGTGCTTTGCCTGGGACCACAAAGCCAGGGTTCAGAACCCAGCACCCACACCCTTCTCCCTATTGGAACCGCACATGGGGACGCCCACCAGGCAGAGCTGTGGCCTGAGGCAGTACGGGAACAAATGGTTTAGCGCCTGCCCACCCCGCCCTGTCCTGCTGGCTTCCCCATCCCACGGCCTCTGCCCTAGATGACCAGGCCCCACACCCCACCTCTGAGCCAGGACTAAAGGGACAAGAGGCAGCCTGTCCAAGTAATTCTCCTAATAACTCTAAGAAAAGGAGCACAGGGTTCTCCCCTTGCTAGGGACTACCAGCCATTCCCAAGAGGCAGGTGGCGGTACCCTCCCCTGGGATGGGGAGGTACAGGAGCGTGGAGATGGGGGGAGGAAGGGATCCTTCTGCTGGACTCAAATGCTGGATGGACTCCAGGCTTCCTGGCTCTATTCTCGGCCAGCCTCGACTCGCTGGGGGCCTTGGGCAAGCCGCTTCCTGTTGTTCGGGCCAGCTTCTGCGTGTGGGAGAGGCCGCACAGCCTCTGCGGGCCAGAGGGACACAGCCTCTGCGGGCCAGCAGGGCTCACACCCTTGGGGCTCCATGGCCTTGGCTTTAATGTTTACTTCAGCCAAAGCCGAATGCGACCTCAAAGAGACCTTACCAGTTATCAATTTTTCCCCAAAAAATATTTGCCAAAAAAATATCGTTAACTATTTTAATCGGGAATGCCAAAAAAAAAAAAAAGGTACAAAACGGACTGTGGCTGAAGAGCTTCCTCTCCACGGTCTAAAGAAAAAGGAAGTGAGAGCAGCGGGACAGGGGCCTTGGCCGCCCGCCCCAGCTGCGGCTCCGGGCCCACGCCCTCTAGGAACCCAGGGCCTGGCCCGAGACAGGTCCGTCCTTTCCTCAGGCCTCAGCCAAGCGGGAGCATGTGCCGTGGCGACACTGCCACCGAACGGAAGGCACGGAGCGCAGGCCCCGGCAGTCTCTGCTGGGAGAGCCTCCTCACGTAAAGCAAAGCACTGCAAGGGCCCAAGTAAGACTTGGCAAGCGACGAGGTCTTACTAGTGTCCCATCCCTGTGGCCAGCCCTCGCCTCCACTCCCCACCGTCTCAGCGCAGTGCTGCTCACGGTGACCCAGATCGCAAGCCACAGGGCTCAGACACGCGTGCCAGGACACTCACCCGATTCCCGGAGGAGCCGGCCAGCATGGCGGGGGGCCTCGGAGCCTTCATGAGTTCTCCAAAATCCGCGGCGTCGAAGTTACTCTTCCAAACCATCACCTGCCGAGACCAACAAGCACACGGGCTCAGGGAGAAAACTCACCAGCCCTTCACAGAGAAGACGGGCCTGAAGGCTGTCCCCAAAGCTCTGGGCCAGTGGCAGGATAGTGGTCCCCACCTGACACCCCGAGTCAACTCCAGGACCTGCCCCGCTTTCCCAGAGAGCAGGCTTTTTGGACAGGCCTTGAGAGAACCTGATGTGCCACTAGGATGGAATCACTGTGCGCCACCACCAGGCCTCTGCACCTGCTGGTCCTCTCTCTCAGCTGGCCCAGGCTCCAGCTCCATGCAGCTGGCTCCTCAGGCTGGAGTGTCAGACAGGCCATCCCTGGCCGCCTGCGAATTCTCATACAGCCCTCTATTTCCTTCATAGCATCAGAGTTGCTAGTTACTTAATCTCTTTATCCCTTTTCCTCCTTTGTTAGTCTCTGCACTAACACAGAAGCTCCCGAGGGTGGGGTCCTGGCCTGTACACCGTGAGAAGTGGTTAGCACGTGGACCCCAGCCCAGACCACTCGGAGCCAACATCCTGGCTCCACCCCTTACTGTGTGGCTCTAGGCAAAGGACTCAACCTCTCTGTGCCACGGATCCCAGTCCCCACCTCCCAGGGCTGCCGTGCAGCCCACAGGAGACAGCTGGGCACAGACACTGGCACCCGGAAGAAGTCGGTAACGTGTCCTAGGCCAGATCCCACACTCCGCTGGAGGATTTTCACATCCCAAGGCTCCTCCAGCAGAAGCTGAGTGAGGCCCTGCTGGAGAGCATCGGCCACGTATGGCTGCACCAGTCCAGGGCCACTTCTAGGACGGCACGAACTGTGCAGCGTGACCAGTGGTCAACCAAAAACCACGGTATCCACTTCGGATGAAAAGCCAACGTGCCCGGGGGCGCCCCCCGCTGGGACACAGCCACAGCCTGGTTCCTTGGGGGCCTCTCGCCACTCCCAGCAGCATCACCGGTCACTGCTCCCCGACCGAGGGGCACCCAGGGGCTCCCATCTGTCCCCGCGACGAGCAGAATGTCGGCACACACCCTTGTTTACAGGGTCCTGTGTCACTGCTGAATAACTCTCAGCAGCAGACGGGCTGTCACGAGCGTGGGGAGGTGCTCAGACGTCACTCCAGAAGGCTCCAGAGCAGACTGCAGGAGGCAGCTGGGAGCTGCCAGCGGCGGCTGTCCGAGGACGGCCAGGGCAGGTGGAAGCCCACCTGGGCCATGTGACTTTCTTCACCCTGACTTTCTTTGCGGTGTGAATTTACCGCTCTAGTTTCCCTCATCTCCCGAGCAATGAGCCAGGCCTCCGGGCCCAGAGGCGGCTCAGGGGCCCCGTGCCCGGTTAGTGCAGAAGCTGGCGCAGGTACGGAAAGACGCCCGCCATCTCTACTCCAGGCAGTGCTGAAAGCACCCCCGCCCCGCTTTCCTGGTAGAGACTCGACCAAAATCGGTCCCCTGGGTTGGGGCTGGGCTCCCTGGGAGGCCAGTGGGACTCTCCTGGGCTGAGCAGTCAGAGCTGTGAAGCTGGGCATCAAGTAGAAGGACATTCTGGGTGGCTCACCAAGTCGAGGTGGCTCAGGACAGCCACCCCTCCTCTCTGGACAAAGAGCACTGCACAGGAACCTGGAAGGAGATTTTCGGCGGGGGACTCTTCAATGCCCCCAAAACCCCCAGATGCCAGGCTCCGGGCCAGAGCCCAGAGGCAGGGTGCCCACCACGAGGTCATTGTTGCTTAGCAGTCCAGGCAGGAGGCACCGGGGCCAACGGGCGGAAAGCCTCAGCAGACAAAGTGACAAAGCGGAAAAAGACTGCCTCACACAGGTCCCCTCTCTGCAGCCTCGGAGTCTGAAAATGCTGAGCCCTGAACACAGCGCACAGGCGGGCGAGGGGAGGCCCCGGGCAGCCATGGAGCCTGTTCCCTCACCCGCAGAATGGGCGCCGGGTGCCCGCCCCTCTGGGCCGCCGTGAGCTCCAAATGAGGGACAAAGCTCTGGCCACACTGCCCACAGAGCCAGGCCTGCAGCAAGCACCTAAGACTTACCTAATTATTCATTTATGATCAGGAGAAAGAAGTTACTAAAAATCTTTAACTTTTTCATGTCAACGGTAGCCCAGACACGCCCCCAGCCCAGCTGGTTTGAACAGTGAGCGTTTGGAGATGCTGTCCCAGGGGGAAGGGGCCCTGGGTCTGAGCACCCCCGCCCCGAGCTCCAGCCTTCACGGTCACTGAAAGCCACCAAGGACGCTGGGGAAACCCGGCCCGTGCCCAGGAAGCCTCGGCCTCCTGGTCTTTTCCGCTCAGTGTCGGGTGAGAGACCTCAGGCCATCGTCACTTACTTGTTCATCAGAACCTCCGGAAGCGAAATACTCTCCCGTTCTTGAAAAGGCAACAGTGGTAGCTGGACCCTAGCAGAACAAACGAAAAGAAACAAACACCCAAGGTCACTCCAGATTCTGAACAGGAAACCAGGAGCTCCTGAGTGAACACAGCCATGGCGCGAAGCGCTAAGGACCCCGTTCGGCCCTTGGCCAAGGGACGCGCAGGTGCCTAGGCGCAAGCACCACTGCAGAGACCTCGGTGCCTGAGCACCACTGACAGGACAAAGGACAAGCCATGGGGTCACGGGTGGCCAGAGGAATGAGGACAGTCCACGCTGGCAGCCCTGCTGGGCCGGCATCACTGTCCCCACTTCCGAGAAGCCAGCGCTCAGAGAGGCGCACTGACGTGTCCCAGGCCCAGCACTGGGACCGGAACTCGGTCCCCTGACCCAGACCATGCTCTTCCTTACCCCGTCCTGCGCTGAACGGACAAGTGGAGCCCTAAGGAGAAGTCAGTGAGCAGAGGTGGGGCGCCTCAGTGACATCAGAGGCCAGAACTGGAGCAGGTAGGAGGCTGGGGAGGGGGTCACCTGGACAGGTGCCCGGGCAGAGAAGCAACGTGACATGCCCTCAAATGTGCATGTCACTGTCCTTACGTTCAGGCCCTGGGAGATTCTGGCTGCCAAGGTACGGAAGGTCCCACAACCATCAGAAGGGTGACACCGGGCCTGTGCCAGGCCGGGCTCTGAGGGCCGGGGGGTGCGTGCAGGCTTGGGGTGGGGGGCACTGCGCACCACCAGAACCGCCCCCTGCCCGCAGCCCTTCCAGTGGCAGTGTTGGCACCCTCCCAAGCCACACTGGGTAAGAGGTTCTCTCCTGGATGACGATGGCAGGCCACTGTCACAAAGACCACTCGGTCCCTCCAGAGCAGCAAGGGGAGCAGTGCGAGCCCCAGGTACCCATACAGGTACGCCCAGCGGTGAGGCTGATGGAGGGGTGGGGGCCCGGACAACAGCAACACTGGGGAGCACCCTGCACTCGGTGCCAGAAGGGACCAGACAAGTTGTGGGCTGGAAAGGGGACCGAGGTCAGGCAGCAAGGCTGGCTTCTGCCTGCCCAGAGAGACAGACAGGCTGAGAGGTGCCCCCTCCAGCACACTGAGCGGGAGCGGAGATGTCTGCCCACACTTCCAGAACCTAGCCACGGCTCCCCGCCTCCGAGGTGCCACGTGCAGTGTCGAAGAGAAGGCAAGAGCAGGCTGACCAACACCAAGCGCGTCGCCTGCGCTGGCCCCCGTGGCCCTCGGAGTGTGGTGTGCACGCTCGCCCCTCCTGAGGGGACAGGTCCGAGTGGACAGGGACACGCCTCCAGCCCGTGCCTCTCCCTGCCTTCTCGAGTGTGGGGCCCAGGGGGCTGGGAATCACAGCGCTGAGAGTCCCATGCAGCCATCAACGGACAAATAAGATCCATTCTTATCGACAGAGACTAGACCCAGTCACACCAGTGAGTGTGAAATGCCAGGTGCAAAGCTGCACACACAGGGCCCGCATGTGTGGCGGGGCAGGTCATGTGCCCTCCAAGTACCCTTCCAGGTGACAGTCACCGAGGGCTAACAAGCTTAACAAGACTTTATGGGGTGTGTGTGTGTGTTAACAATTTCAGGTGACTTTTGCTTGATTCTTGGAAGTCTTTGTAATTTCCCATACTTTGAATTTTTAACAAATATACGGCATTGCTACATTACTATAAAAACAAACAATAAAAAACATAACTATTTTCATTTTGATGAAAAACCAAAAGGGAAGAGAGAAAAGGGAAGGAAGCTGGGGCCTGAAGTGTCCGGAAAGCTGGGCCCTCTGCCTGACCAGAGCCGGCTGAGGAATGGCAGGTTTCCAAGAAGTCACAGCAACTCAGGAACCAAGCAAATATGCGTGGGTCAGTCCCCTTTCCTGCTGTCACTCAACCACTAGAGGGCAAACTGGAGACAGGCGTTGGAGACCAAGCGGCACCAGCAGCGGCAGGACCAGCGCAGTGCGGCCGGTGGCCGCGGCTGGGCAGGCACCTCGGGTTGGGGCCCCGGTGCCAGGAACCCTCCAAGCAAGATGTGCTGAACTCTGCCCAGAGGCCGAGTGCCGAGAGACTCTGGGGACGGCGCAAGGGACATCAAGCTATGAGGGAACTCTCGAGGGTGAGGTCTGCTAGGCGGGCTGCTCAGCTCCCGCCCGGTGCCTCGGTGGTCCTGGAAAGAGGCCTCCCACGAAGGCTCCTGCCTGCCGGTCCATCAGGCCCCAGACAAGCGGCCCAGCGGCTGGTCCTGGGCGCTGTGGTGGGCCCCACGACTGGAATGCGGACAGGCTCCCCTGTGCTGACCATCAGCGGCTTTGGCCTTCCCGGGAGGGTGGGGGAGGCAGACCACCCAGGCCCCCCGCGGCCTCGCCAGGCCCTACCCGCCTCCACCAGCGCTCCCGCACTGCTGACTGCTCACCGCCCCGCAGATGGCGTGGGCTCAAGGCCTCCTCCTTCTCCATGTCCTTTCTGAGCCTCCTACATTCAGCTCTGAATTCAGTTATTTTCCATCTTTCCTGGTTTTAAATAAATTCACTTAAGGCTACAAATTTGCCTCTGATTACCACCTTAGATAGATCTAAAAAGCTCCCAATCCACTGTGTTCTCCCAGTTGTTCGCCTTCAAGTGTTCAGTTTCCAGTGTGATTTTCTCCTTAGCCTGACAGTGATTTTGGGGTGTGTTCTAGTTTCCAAACCGTGGGGCTCGGAGTGTTTCTTTCTCACACACAGAAGGCAGACAAAGTTACGTTGAGATCGTTCTGCCTTCACGGCGGCTTATTCCTTTTCATGATCACTCTGCATGCATTCACCCGCCAGCTCAGGGCAGGGGTATTGCTACGTGGTCTCTTCCCCCAGGCCAGAAACCTCTGCGCTGACCCGAGTGTGACTCTGAGCAGCAGCTTTTGGCTGGGCCTTCAGCAGTGTGGAGCCCAACCTGCCCCAGACTGCTGGAGGTGCCCACCTGCCTGCGGTCCTGGTCTCCGTGGGCTCTAGGTCAGGGCTGCTGGCAGGAACAACTCCTGAGCTCCACCAGGTCCTTCCTCCCTCCCTCTCTGGATCTGCCAGCCAGAGTCTTTCATGAGATGGTCCTGCTTGGCCACCATGAGCACTGGACACAGCCTGGCCACCCCCTCCCCTCCCCTCCTCCCCTCCCCTCCTGACCCAGGCACCCCTGGTCCTCGAGCTTGGCTGGACTCATACCCAGCCATTTCGCCACACGCCACCTCCGCCTTGCCAGCCTCCAGACCCAAGGGACCCTGCCGTCTGCTTTCCTCACTCCCACACAGCAAAGCATGGATGGGGAAGTTTTTTAAAAAGAAGGCAAACCAAAGGGGCCCATGCGTCTGGATCGCCAGCTCCCAGTGCTTCTCACTCGCAGCCCTGCGGCTTGTCCAGACCTGGCCACTCCCCTCACCCCTCCCGCATGATCCCCACATGTCTCGGCCTTGACTCTTGTGCCACGACAGCTATGCCAGCAAAGCCGAGCCAGGTGCCCTGGCCACCACCGCCCCCAAGGGTTTTGAAGGTTTTCGGTAGCTACCGACAAACAGGAATGTCATGCCACGTGCCCCAAGTCGGGGGTGAAAGGAGTGTTTACAGGGACACGGAGGCCAGTAAGGCCTGAGAGGTCTCCGGCCTTCGTGCCCAGGCCACTTCCTCCACAGACCCCTGCTGGGGAGGCACCTGCACTGCTTACCAGCATCCACTGTGGGCCGGCTCTTGGGTCTGAGAGGTGGCCCAGGGAACAAGAAGTGGCCTCTGGGAGGAGCTGCCGCCCAGGCAAGCTGAGGCTCTCTCCTGACCCTGGCTGGGGACACAGCTCCCAACCCTCTACCCTGGGCTCTAGGCAGGGGACAGAGGGCCAGGATGATCTCTTGGTTGCTTAGTTTGGAGCAAACGAGCTGTTCCCCCTGTTGATGTCCCCTCACCCATCCCAGGAGGTGTCCAATTATTCAAGCCAGGAGACATGAGCTTCCTTTGCCCTGGAGTAGCCTGAAGGGCAGCCCATGTGTCCCAGGCCACTGTCACACCTCTGCCTCCATAGTAAGCCTCCATGGCCAGTGCCCCAGCACCAGCCGCAGCCCTGGTGTGACACAAGCTGTCAGTGACGTCAGTGGGTCCATGTTCTGCGATCTCACGACCACCAAGACCCCAAGCAGACAGCAGCCCTGGGTCGGGGTCCAAGCCCTCACCCACCTCATGGGGCAGCCAGGCTGCACGAAACCACGTGCCTAGTGGTCCCTGTGCAGCTCAGTCACTCCGCAGAGACACGAATACCAACTGCACAGCCACAAACACCAGATTTAACTTCCACCCACATCCCACCCACCATCGTCTCCCAAATAGCTCTGGGGACTTAAACCAAATGAGCATAGCCTGAGATTGTTTCAGAAAATACAGAAAAATAAATCTCTATTTCTAGCATATTGTCCCCACGCTTGCCACACAGAGCTATTGGGGCCTCGCTCGGGGCGCAAGGCTTCGAGCGACAGCTGTGGTTGGTGGGAAAACCCTCCCTCTCCTGGTCTTGCTGCAGAGAGGGAGAAGAGGGGGTGAGGAGGCTCCCGTGGAGCCCTGACACCCCCGAGTCTGTACCGGATCCAGTGGAAGCAGGGACTCCCTTTCCTCCAGCTTCACTGGCATGGCCGTGACAGATCCCACGCAAGACTTTGCAGAGCCTCAGAGAGGACACTGCCCCCGCTCCCAGCCAGTCCTGCAGGACTCAGGCCCTGGAGAAGATGACCTGACTGGTGGGACTAATAAGGACACGCAAACAGACCTGCAGACCAAAGGGCCAACAGGCCACTGCTCAGGACAGCTATGGGGCAGGGGCTGGGGAGCAAGCAGGTTTGGGGCAGGGGAGTGGCCGCAGCCCACCCACTGGGGGACGGATTTCAGGAGCTACACGACAAAAGAGAAGCCAAAGCAATATGACATTCTAGGGGAGATGAAAAAAACCTTAAACAAAAGAAAAAGCCAGATAAACCCTTTGGAGACTTCGTGGGAGGGGGAAATGGGCAATCCCCATCCCAGAGGGGGAAGGGCTGATGGCTATGGCCCTGTGCCCACCGACAGGGACTAAGTCATCAGAGACCCCCAACATGGGCTCATTTTCCTAACAAACACTGACTGCCCACCCATGTACCTGGACCATGCCCATAACGGAAACCTTAGATGGTCTCTTAAAGAGCTCTGGCCTAGAGCAGTAGGGGACCATAATCCAAGAGCTGAAGTGGAAAGGGACTAGCACCTGTGAAGATCTACTGTGTCCGATCTGGGCCATGCAGACTCTTCCTCTCCTAGAACGAGGCTGATGAGCAAAGGCTCGGCAAAGCCAATGTCGTACCCAGCGTCATAGGTAAGAGGCAAAGCGAGGATGGCCAGACTCCAGTGCCCAAGCCAGAGGCTCAGGCTCTCTCTGCTAAACAGGATGGGAGAGCCCCTGGTTTTCTCAGAAACGAGGAGTACAAACTGTTTCTGCAAATACTGGGTGTTTCCTTAGAAACTGGGCATCATCACCCAACAGACAAGGCTGTGTGACCCCTACCCAACCGAACACATCCCAGCACTGGGCCTCAGTCAAAGGAGCTGGCAAGGGTGCTTGCTGCAGGCTCTTTGCCAACCCAACCCACCAAGAGAGAGATCGCCCGGTGTTCCCTGGGGCAGAGGGGGGAAGGAGGGCCGTGCGCCACATCCAGGCAGGGCTCGGCCCACTTTCCACTCGGGCGGGCAGGTGCAGCTGGAAACAGCGGTGCCCTAGCTCTCAGCCCCAACAGGCTCCTCAGCCCCTCCTGGCCCTTGCTTGGCAGAGGCGGTTGTGTCTGCTCAGGCTGCATCTAGAAACCTGCTGCCACCTGCTGCCACCTGCTGCCCCGTCATCGCTGAGCCCGGCACAGCCAGAGCAGCAGGCCTGCTGAGGGGCCAGAGTCCATGCGGGCTGCAGCCAGCAAAGGGCCTGCCCAGCTCTCGGGCCTGCCACCCCATCACTCGAGGATGCTCAGCTGGCGGAAGCTTAAGGGCCCCATGGGTCCCAGCAGCTGCTCCCAGGTATCCCATGGGCAGGACCTCAGTCCCCACAGAATGGCCTTGTAGCCCAGAGTGTCCAAGACTACAAGAGAGAAGCCCCAGGATCCCTCGGGCCTGCAATAAGCTTGTCACCGATGTCCACTCCCAGCCCCACAGAGTGAGCCAGCCTCACGCAGGCCAGTCGTGCCAGAGAAGCTCCGAACTGCTGGCCAGGCCCTGGGGCCCAGCACGTGGGCTCAGCCCAGGAGACCCCAGCTGCACTGGGCGATGCTGGTCTTAGCTTGGCGCCTCCGTCCTGTGCTTCAGGAGACAATGGCACTTCCGGCCCCAACCCAGACAAGAGCACACCGGCCCAGCAGCTCTGCCTCCCCCAACCTCTCTCCACCCTGACCCTCCCTGTCATGTCTCCGCCTCAAGCCCCGCCCTCATGCAGGCCGCTTCCCTGGCGCACACAGAGCGCCCCCTGCTGGTCAAGGAGCATCAGCTCCCTGTAGCTGGCGGTTCTCGGCTGGCCTCCGACCCCCAGCCTGCACTATCCCTTCCCACAGGTGTGGGACTAGACGGGCGAAGGAACCGCTGCTCCATCCGGCAGAAAAACAACAGCCTCCCTCCCAACAGCTCTCTCTGGAGACTGTCACAAGGAGGTGCTTCAAGTCCCAAAGTGTCTGTCACGGAGTTCCTCCCTGATGGACCAGAACAGGTCATATGGCAGCGAGGCTAAGACCCACACAGCCACAAGCCTGCTGGCCTCCTACACAGACCAGTGACCTAAAAACAGGAGTGAAATCACTTCTAAACGCCATATGCGCGAGGCCAGTGAGTGTGGTGGAAACGGCGGACTCGGGCACTCGTCCCAGCTCTGCCACCTGGAGACCCGAGTGAGACCCCTACAAGCCCAGCCCACTGCTCAGTCTCTCCACCTGGACTCAAAAGTGCTCTCAGATCTGCCATCGTCATTTGTGGACAGAATCCCGGGCACCTGGGAGCCCTGGGGCCACGCAGCCACTCGCTTCAGGAAGTGGTTGGTGGCAGCTGTGCCTCCTGCGGCTACCCCACGCCCTGGGAGAGAATGTGAAAGCCCAAGTGACGAAAGCGCCCAGGTGCACATCTTCCTCGAAGGCCGGGAGGGCGTGGACGTCACGACAGGAAGCCTCAGAGGACCACAGCCCTGAAGAGCACGCTCCAGCCCCCTCTTCAGCAGCCCAGATGCAGCGCCCTGCCAGGCTCTGTCCCTGGGGCTCAGGAGCCACTGTCCATGCCCTGACGGGTGTCAAAGAACTCCTTCTACTCCCGCCCGCACGAACTCTCCAGTCAGGAATGTCCTCGGAACACGCCAGCTCCCAGGTGACACACAGGCTCAGCCTCCACGATGCCTCCCAGGGGCTGAGCAGAGCAGCTCTCTGCTCCTGGCCATGTCTCCACAAGCACTAGGTACTCAGTCCGGCTGGTGGCTCTGTTTTAACCAACTGCCCCCCACAGGAAGGTGCTATCAGCTGACTCTGAATTGCCCCAAACCTAGAGGCAGAGCCAGGCCCAACAAGGAGCCACAACAGACCCTAGCAGACCCTGGGGCACAGAGGGCAAGCAGGGCTTTGCTCAGGGCAGACAGGCTGCCCTCAGGCAGCCCTGCCCCAAACACTACACATGGACACCCTGACATCTGCCCTCAGGCCAGATGCTCCGATCATGCTGCTGCTCCACATCATTAGGAAGCACCGCAAAACAAAGTTCTCTCAAGGCAGAAGGGGCAAATTAAGTGGGCAGGTCTGCATGAGTGGCCAGCCGCAGACGCAGCACGGAGCTGCTGCCTCCAGTGGGGAGTGCACAGTCCCGTCACCGGTCTGGAGGAGCAGGAGGGCGGGAGAATCAGTTCTCTGCGAAGAGGCCAGGGGTTCCAGCAAGTGCGGGGATGGAGCAGAGGCAGGGCGAGACTGCCTCAGAACCCTGAGCTAGCCAGGTCCCAGGATCCCCACCCCCCGCACCCCACAGTGGAGCCGGTGCCATGGGTCCCCCAGGAGGAAGAGCCCGAAGACCCACGGCAGGCTGATCCTAAGTTTCCGGATTTGACAGGGGCTGTGGTTCAGAAGAGAAACGAATGGAGCCTCTCGCTCTGACTCCCACTGGCACCGGAGATGCACCGCCTCCACCCACCCCTGCTAGTGCCGAGCCCACTCGGCCAACCTCGCCTGGCCGCCTAACCTGTCTCATGCCTTCTGAGCTCTGCGGACCTCCCTGGGGAGCCCCCCGCTTCCCGAGCCCCAGGGGGTGGGACCGTGACATCCATTCTGTGCCCCTGGTGCCCAGCCCAGCGATCTGGGGGGCGGATGATGAACAGACAAACGTGTGGCTTTTGCCTTCTGCCTTCTCCGTCCCTCTGGGCACCGTGAGCTCGGTGCTCAGAGGAAGGGATGATTCTGCGGAGCCATTCCCCGTCTGTAACCCCAGCGCCAGCTGTCCCTCAGCCTACTCCTCACATTTCGAGGTTCAAGAGCAACAGGCCACCGCAGTTAGACTTGGCCCGTTTCACTTCTCGGGGAGAATGGCGTCAGCAGGTTCTCTTCGCGGGCCCGACGCGGGGCCTGAGCACGGGAAGGGCGTCTTGGACACCGTGCGAGGGTTCTCAGGCCAGGGGCGCGCCAGCCGTGGAGGAGCCGCGCAGGGAAAGCAGAGGGCGCCGTCTGCACGTGTCTCTCTGCTGCTGTTTCTCCTTTTTGCCGGGAGGAGAGGTGGCAGCATCACATGGTTTCACGTGCCGTCCTGGTTGTAAGATCCCAAACGGGCTGCACGTGACTTTAAATAGCTGATTGCCAAAGGGCCAACCGAGGTTGTTGCCAAGAAGCTGACAGCAGGAGCAATGGTCACCCCAGCCCGGTGGCCGTACAGGACACTTAGACGTGCAGGCCACTGGGGGAGCAAGCCCGTGGTACAGCAGACGCGTCCTGACACGGAGGACAGGAGGCTGAGGGTGGCAAGCAGCCTCCTTGTCCCAGGGAAGCAGGAGGAAGGGCCCAGGCCCCACGTCAGGCTACGGCCAACGGCCTTCATGTGTCCCGACTCCAATGGCAGCGGGCTCCGGAGTCCTGAGCTAGACACCTCACACCTGGCTGCTGGCCCAAGACACACAAGCTGCCTGGGACCCCTCAGCCCTCATGAGCCTGTCCCCATCTCCGTCCTGCCTGCCTGCTGCTCACAGGTGGAGAGGATGAACTGAAAAGCTCTGGTGTCCAGACCCCCGCCCCACTAGGGTGTGGTGACTACATCCCGACAGGAGACATTCTTTGCCCACGGGAGACAGCTCAGCCACAACTCCTGGTGGGGAGAGCCCCCGCCACCCCTCACCTCACCCCACAGGGCTGCCTGCCTACTGCCCA